GACCAGAGAATGAGTAATTGAGGTGAGAGGTTTACAACATGCATCATGGAAGCTGTTTGAGTTTTCTAAATCAGTGTTATTCTCGATTAGTAGTTTAGATCAAATTATTTCTTGAAAAAAACAAAACGTCTTGTCTGCGGTAGCTGGAAACAATCTACAAGTGATTAAATTAGGACAGAATAATCTGCAAGGAAAGGTACCAAGATCATTGGCAAATTGTAGAATGTTGGAGTTTCTTGATCTTGGCAACAATCATATAAGAGATACCTTCCCTTATTGGTTGGGAGCTCTTCCTAGATTGAAGATTCTCATTTTGCATTTCAACAAGTTCTATGATGCAATTAATGTTCCAAAATTCTTTATTTCCTGATCTACGAATTGTTGACCTTTCTCATAATGGATTTGTTGATCCTCTACCAACAAAATACTTCAACTTGTGGAGTGCCGTGGTAGATGTTGATAAGGAGAACACAAAATATTGGCATGCATATGACAATTATATGTTGAATGGCTTAATTGGTGCCAGTCCATACCCCTACTCAATGACAATAACAAACAAAGGAGTGAAAATGGAATATGCAAAGGTGTTAGAGATTTTCTCTGCTGTTGATCTTTCTTGCAACAAATTTGATGGAGAGATTCCAGATGGAATATGCAAAGGTATGGGAGCTTAAACGGACTTCAACTGCTCAACCTTTCCAATAACATCCTCGTTGGTCCAAATCCACCAGCCTTGGGAAATCTCAAAAATCTTGAAGCTCTAGACCTTTCTCAAAACAAGCTTGTAGGAAGCATTCCCACTTAGCTGACGCAGCTCAATTTCCTTGAAGTTTTCAATGTATCTTACAACTATTTGACAGGACTTATCCCGAAAGGCCAACCATTTGATACATTTGATAATAGCTCATTTGATGGGAATTTAGGGTTGTGTGGATTGCCACTGTCAAGGAAATGTGACAATTCAAAGGCATCACCCCCACCATCTTCCAACTCTAAAGGAAATGAAGATTCTGGATTACTAGCTGAATTTGGCTGGAAAGCAGTGGCGTTGGGTTGTGGATGTGGATTCCTTGTTGGAGTGGTGATTGGAGACATTGTTTTTGCAAGAACATGTGAGTGGCTGATGAGGACTTATCGAATTAGGATGTCAAGGAGGAGAATGATGAAGAGGATCCGTTGAAGACGAATGTTTATCTGTTGGTGGTGGCTTTTGGCTATGTATTCTTTTGCCTACGTTTCTTTGTTTTTTCTTGTTTTTATTTTGTGTGTGCGAACTGTTGTGCTTTAAAGTTGCATCAATAAATTGCACTTCAACTTCATCAACTGCCTGATGTGAATTTTACTAATTTTAAATTTTAAATTTCCAAAGAGAGAGAAAAAAGGCAAAGAAATGATAACGTATTCATTGTAAATCAGTTCAATTCAGTAAATACAAATGAAAAAGGAAACATAAATTATGTGAAGTAAACCACAAAAAATCTTAGTAGAACTCCTTTTGATCATTTTGATGTCTGGTGATTGTGAGTGGTTTTTATCTTTCTGAGGACTTAAGTTCTGAAAAGTGGAGGCCGTGGCTGTGGTTGTGGTGGTTGTTTCGTGATCGAAACAGAAAAGTGGAGGAGTTGATCGACGATGTTGCAGAGGAGAGAAAAAGCGTGCCGGCTAAAATGGGGATTTAGGGTGTTTTTGATTTTTCAAGCGATACGTTGCTTAAACGGTGTGTTTTGGTGAAGGGGGAGTGTGGCTAGTTTGAACCGATGGCAGGTAAACTGCTGAGGTGGGCTCTATTTTATCTTAGGGCTGCCGTGGGTTTGAACTGAGTAGATGTGGGCCGCTGAGATGGGTCAATACATTGGGCCACACATTTAAAGCCCGTTTTGCGTGGAAAACTTTTCTTGG